CCTCACCTGGTATCTTGTCTCACGGATAAGAAACACTGTTTCTTAATAGGGTTTCAGCGTCTGGGATGCTCTCGGACGCAGGTTTGAATCCTCGTCACGGCTCTTGTGGATTTGTTCACTGTTTCTTAATTAATAATGTTTATTAACAACAATCCCCTCTCCAACTCTCATGACAAAATATCTTACCTTCTGAAATATACGTTGCTAGAGCCATCTTACCGCATAGCCCAATGGGCACTTGCCCGGGGCCCCCACGAGCATAGGGGGCCCCCACGAGCATAGGGGCCCCCACGAGCATAGGGGCCCCCACGAGCATAGGGGGCCTCCACGAGCATAGGGGGCCCCCACGAGCATAGGGGGGCCCCCACGAGCATAGGGGGGCCCCCACGAGCATAGGGGGCCCCCACGAGCATAAGGGGCCCCACGAGCATAAGGGGCCCCCACGAGCATAAGGGGCCTCCACGAGCATAGGGGCCCCCACGAGCATAGGGGCCCCCACGAGCATAGGGGCCCCCACGAGCATAGGGGCCCCCACGAGCATAAGGGGCCCCACGAGCATAGGGGCCCCCACGAGCATAGGGGCCCCCACGAGCATAAGGGTCCCCACGAGCATAAGGGGCCCCCACGAGCATAAGGGGCCCCCACGAGCATAAGGGGCCCCCACGAGCATAGGGGGCCCCCACGAGCATAGGGGGGCCCCCACGAGCATAGGGGCCCCCACGAGCATAGGGTCCCCCACGAGCATAGGGGCATGTTGTTAAGTTCCTCCTTAGTAAATACAGATATAAAATATGAGCTGAATGAGGACGGAGTCGTGGAGCTCTTATGTGGGAGAGTGTGGCGGCTCGATGGGGAATCGTGAGTGTGTAAACGAGATGGGGAGCGAGAGCATTGTAGCTGGATGCAGTCGTAGTCTGCTGTCTGCTCTGTGTCGAAGCTGTACCCGCCAAACACACACCGAAACTACGTCGTTGGTACAACGTTCGAACAAGTTTTAACACCTTCTAACCAGTTATAACAACCAATATAGCAAGTTGTAACAACGTTCTAATACGTCATAAACACGTTAAGCCAAGATGTAACAACTTTATTACAAGTTGTAACAAGCGGAAAATAGAGACCAGTTACGGTTTGTGTTTCCAGGGATATACTATAATTTTGACAAATTACAGTAAAATTTAGATTAATAATAAGCAATATTAAAAATTTAAATTATGCAAATGGAATAAAAGTAAAAGCAAATGACAATACAATAAGTGACAAATGAGGAATGAATAATAGAAAATGGTGGATAAGCAAGAAAGAATAATTTTAAAATTAAAACCTTTTGAATGGAAAGGCAAAGCTATAGTTCACTTTGGTACAAAATCAAACTCTCATACAGTAACCGTTCACGTTCTCTTAAGTGATACCTGGTTGATGGGGTTCTGGGAGTTCTTCTACTCCCCAAGCCCGGCCCGAGGCCAGGCTTGACTTGTGAGAGTTTGGTCCACCAGGCTGTTGCTTGGAGCGGCCCGCAGGCCCACATACCCACCACAGCCCGGTTGGTCCGGCACTCCTTGGAGGAATAAATCTAGTTTCCTCTTGAAAATGTCCACGGTTGTTCCGGCAACCTATCTGGCCCAATATTTAACAACTATAGTTTCACTACTCTACTGACTCCCAAATACTTACTCAACTACTATGCCCCAATTCTTAATTACAACCAGTAGTTTATACATATCACAGTTTAATCGTACCGCCGGCAGCGGTGCAAACACCGGTAGCCACTAGTAGCTGACTTGTGTGTACTTGTCTCTCTAAAGCCTTGTTTCTCTCTGCGTAGACCACCCTGGTCCAACCCGTTCTCGCACTTTCGTATAGTCAATATTGACTTATTAAATACGTGCATATGTGACATACTAAATTATTGTGAATATTTTAGTTTACCTTGAAAAGCTTCATAAAAAACACTGACCTTACCTAACCTTCTTAGTATGTTAAGATAAGCATCTTACTGCTTCGTAATTATAATTATTACTTAACCTATTATAGGTATAGGTTAAGTAATAATTGTAATTACGAAGCAATAAGATGCTTATCTTAACATAGTAAAAAGGTTAGGTAAGGTCGGTGTTTTCTATGAAGCTTTTCAAGGTAAACTAAAATATTCACAATAAATTAGTATGTCACATATGCACGTATTTAATAAGTCAATATTGACTGTAAGAGTGCGAGAATGGGTTGCCTGGTCATAACAGCATCACATAATATATACATGGAAGGTACTGGAGGGCCTGGTTACTCCTGTAAATTTCCAAATTTACACAGTAAAATTGTGTGTAAAATATAAATATACTAGAGAAAACGATATGGAAGGAAATGCAGACTAGAACCAGTGAAGAGCAGAGGTGCCATAGGCACAATCAGAGAACACTGTATGAACATCAGAGGTCCGCGGTTGTTCAATATCCTCCCAGCAAGTATAAGAAATATTGCTGGAACAAAAGCAAAGTCTTCAAGAAAACTTTAGGCAGTTTTCTGCAAGAAGTGCCGGACCAACAAGGCTGTAGTAGATATGAGGCCTGCGGGCCGCTCCAAGCAACAGCCTGGTGGACCAAGTTATCACAAGTCGAGCCTGGGCTCGGGGAGTAGAAGAACTCTGAGATCTCAATTCAGGTACAATCCACTCATCCTACCCGTCCTCACTGCCTTCTCTCAGACAACTTAATATTAAGAAGCACTGAAACAATTGTGTGAGTCTCTCCGATAGTCTTTCCTTTTCTCTCTTCTCTTTTCCGTTTGTAAATTTGCTTTTATTTTCCTTTTCTTCTTCTTCCCCCATTCATCCCTGCCTTCGTTCTCCCCCTTTCATCCCTGCCTTCGTTCTCCCCCTTTCATCCCTGCCTTCGTTCTCCCCCATTCATCCCTGCCTTCGTTCTCCCCCATTCATCCCTGCCTTCGTTCTCCCCCATTCATCCCTGCCTTCGTTCTCCCCCATTCATCCCTGCCTTCGTTCTCCCCCTTTCATCCCTGCCTTCGTTCTCCCCCTTTCATCCCTGCCTTCGTTCTCCCCCTTTCATCCCTGCCTTCGTTCTCCCCCTTTCATCCCTGCCTTCGTTCTCCCCCTTTCATCCCTGCCTTCGTTCTCCCCCTTTCATCCCTGCCTTCGTTCTCCCCCTTTCATCCCTGCCTTCGTTCTCCCCCTTTCATCCCTGCCTTCGTTCTCCCCCTTTCATCCCTGCCTTCGTTCTCCCCCTTTCATCCCTGCCTTCGTTCTCCCCCATTCATCCCTGCCTTCGTTCTCCCCCTTTCATCCCTGCCTTCGTTCTCCCCCATTCATCCCTGCCTTCGTTCTCCCCCATTCATCCCTGCCTTCGTTCTCCCCCATTCATCCCCGCCTTCGTTCTCCCCCATTCATCCCTGCCTTCGTTCTCCCCCATTCATCCCTGCCTTCGTTCTCCCCCTTTCATCCCTGCCTTCGTTCTCCCCCATTCATCCCTGCCTTCGTTCTCCCCCATTCATCCCTGCCTTCGTTCTCCCCCATTCATCCCTGCCTTCGTTCTCCCCCATTCATCCCTGCCTTCGTTCTCCCCCATTCATCCCTGCCTTCGTTCTCCCCCATTCATCCCTGCCTTCGTTCTCCCCCATTCATCCCTGCCTTCGTTCTCCCCCATTCATCCCTGCCTTCGTTCTCCCCCATTCATCCCTGCCTTCGTTCTCCCCCATTCATCCCTGCCTTCGTTCTCCCCCTTTCATCCCTGCCTTCGTTCTCCCCCATTCATCCCTGCCTTCGTTCTCCCCCTTTCATCCCTGCCTTCGTTCTCCCCCATTCATCCCTGCCTTCGTTCTCCCCCATTCATCCCTGCCTTCGTTCTCCCCCTTTCATCCCTGCCTTCGTTCTCCCCCTTTCATCCCTGCCTTCGTTCTCCCCCTTTCAACCTTCTCTCAGAAAATGTGTTGTTAATTGGCATTGAAACAATTGTATGAGTCTCACATATTATATTATAACCCTACAAACTCCATGGGAATCACACAACATATTTCACATCAAACTCTGAAGATGGTCTTGGGGGGGGGGGTTCCTTTATAATTTCTAATGTTTCTTAAAGCATTTAACTTAGATCTATCTCGATCAGTCTATGTCCATCCCATACCCCAGACTATTACCACTGCAAATTTGGGTGAGACTAGCCCCAAGCATCTGGCCTCTAACTTAGGACAGACAGACACAGACATAATCTCTTAGGGTTCCATCTTAATGTACACGTGAAAGTACAGTGGGCTGTCAGTACATATTTTGCCAATTGATTTATGCATTCTTGCACAGCCACTAACATGGATATTTTCCCAGCAAGTCATAACGCTAACACTAACTTCGCAGAGAACTCGGTTACAAAATAATATTAGTTTATATCATGATGATAATAGATTTTATTGTTGAATTTCTACGCAAGTTATAATAGCACAAGACGAGGTACTGTAAGAAATTTGTTGTGGAACTCTGTTATTCTTTAAAATAAAGTATAGATTAGGCAGTATTTTGCTTTATTAAGAAGGAATTTCCATATATTAGGTCTCTTTATTTCCGGTATAAGCCTAACATGTACTGTATGTATAACGTGGCTTCCTGTCCCTTGACGCAGTGAATTATATACAGAGAGAAGTGTAAACCGCTTCTTGGTGTGTGTAAACTGAGAATTTAGTACTGGACTATGTTCAAAAATAAATTATATGCTTTCAAATTAAAACTTAAAATGTTTATTCAGGTAAATGTACATACATAGATGATGAGTTAAAAACATAATGTTGGATTTATAGATAGAGCTAGTATGTACAATACCCAAAGCCACTAATACACACAGCGTTTCGGGCTAACTTGCCTTATCAGTAAGCTACTGGAGCAGCTAAGTTGCTTGATTTATATGGCACAGCTGCAATAGATAACGAATCAGACCTGCTTGTGTCTTGTCAATGTGTTCAATGGTTGTCAGTCCTCACTATTCCCATTTGTATTTCAGGTGATCGGTGGTTCGTGTCGTGTCTGGGTTGTCTCCACCTGACGAAGGGCCTCTTCTACCGGGTCGTCCCCGCGGACCAGGACTTTGAGACAGAGTCTGGCTACTGCGGTGTTTTCAGGTAAAGGCATTAAATACTAGTCTTGGACAGCTGTAGAACCCACCTTGATCTTACTGAAGCATATGCACTGATTGATACTTGAAGAAACTTGGGGTAAATTATATTTACCCCAAGAAATAGCCTAAACTACTGTATCCCTTTGAGATGTATTTCTTTCTTCTCTCAATAAACATACTTGAAGTTGAACTTGAATTATATTAATGCTCCGGGCATTATGTATTATTTTTCTGCTGATGTTTTAAATATGGAAATTTAGCAGGTTGATGCAGATTAGATGTAGAACCAGTATTACATCAGGTGTAAACGAGTTTTGGACGTGTTTAGATTCCGCGTGTGGTGGTGCGGAGAGTGGAGGGAGGTACTGGTTGATGACCGCCTGCCCACTGTCAACGGTAAACTGGTGTTTGTCCACTCCCAGTCCGTCACCCAGTTCTGGCCAGCTCTTCTCGAGAAGGCTTATGCAAAGTAAGTGGCTTTGTCTTGCTAGTCATTATTGGTTTTCATTACTTTTTTAATGTGCACCAAGCAAAATATTATTGAGCAGCATGGATGCATCACTGGCCTTTTATTGTATATAGTAATCAGTTGTTGGTCATTAAATTTCAGTGAAAAACTTATAGTACCTGTAGTTGTATTTAATAAGTCTTAAAAGACCAAATGCATTATGATATCAACAAAACAGACTTCATTGCCGCTTACAGGGTAGGCAAAATGAATCCAGCACGTCAAAATCAAAGAAAATTTTGCCTAAAACTATCTACTCATTCCCTAAAATCCGATCTTGTCCAGGCAGCAGTAGCCTCTAACAAGGTGTACACCAAGGAGTGCCAAGCTGGCGAGGACAAGGCAGGAACTCCTCAGCCATCTGCCGCAAGTCCGTAAACAAAAAGAAGGAACGATCCATCAGTGCTATGTTAAAGATGGCATAATAAAAGTGAGGGAGGCTCCTACAGGGAAAAACTTTTGTGATATCGAGTGTGGATAGCCTCAATAAATTCCTCTCCCGATGTGATTTGTCTGAACTGACTGAGCCTATCTCTGCCTTGTCTTAATTAGCCGCTTGTTGCCTAGTGCAGGCTGGGTAACCTAGGTTACATTGTTACCTAGGTTACCTAGCCTCTGCATACTCCCTTGCTCTCCGGTGGTTCATTGTCTGAAGCGCGGGGCTTCTCTTCAGTCCTTGGCTCTTTGGGGCTGGTCGCTTCTAGTGACTTGTCTGCTGGTTTTCTCAGGGGTTTGGATCTCCATGCGGTTCATATCCAGGGAGTGTCCAACGTCCTGGCGACAGCCTGTCTTGGTTCATTCCTCTGTCTACGGAATGGACGGTCGATGCCAACTCCTTCAGAGGTGGACCTCTTCATGTCGCAGTGGTCTTGGCATCTCCTGATATATGTGGCACTCATCCTTGACTGCGGAGCTGTCGCGGTTGACGCCTTTCGGCAGGACTGGTCGAGGTGGGATTACCTGTACCTCTTCGGGTCCAGCTGTTGCCTTGGATTCTGGCTCGTTTGGAGTCTTACCACGGGAATCTTGTTCTTCTGGCCCCTTGGTGGCCGCCCTAGCTTTGGTTTCAGGTGCTGCTTGCTTGGTGTCCAAACCTGGTGTGTTTTCCGCAGCTCCGCCTCTTTCAGCAGATCAGACCAATCCGGTACACGACTGATTTGGTCTACTCCTCCACTCTTTGCGTCTGGTCTTTTTGACATGAGTATATCACCGCTTGTATGGTGATCAGGTGGCTTTTTTTATGGTGTCCCACCTGCGAGCTTTGTCTCGGCAGCAGTATGAAGTTTCCTGCTGTTCTTGTCGCCATTTTCTGTCCCTTCATTGGTTGTCTTCTATTTCTGATCGGGTTGTTTTGTCCTTTATATCTTGGCTTTTTCAGGATCGTTATGTAATGCCGAATACTGTCACCTCGTATCGTGTGGCGCTAGCGGAGCCGCTCCAGCTTGTGTTTTGGGTGGATGTCACTTACGCCACATTCTGTAAGCTTTTTCGTGCTTTGTTTCACCTCTGGCCTGCTCATGCGCTGCCTGAGCCATCCTGAAACTAGGATCGGGTGCTTTCTTTTCTGTCTTCTCCTCGGTTTGCGTTGGCCCCTTTCGCTCAAGATTGTTTTTCCAAGTCCCTGTTTCTGTTGGCATTGGCCTCTGGGGGTCGGGTTGGTGAGCTTCATGCTCTCCTCCGGTGCAGGGGTCTCTGCTACTTTGGTCCTGGTGGTCGGTTTGTTCGGTTGCAGCCGTCTCCCCTTTTCTGGTGAAGAACGAGAAAGCGGCTTTCCGGAGGGTCCCCGTGGGCCATTGATGCTTGGTTGGTCCGGCCGGTCACACTAGCTTATCAGTATTCAACCAAAATGTCAGATAACTTGTAAAATATCTTGATGACATCAATGCGCCACTTGAAGCAGTGGGCTCTAAACTATCTTTCATTATTTTAACAGAAATATGGCTAAGTAAAGACCATACCCAAATAAACAACTTAGCCGGATATACAGCCATTCACTACTACAGGCCTGATAAAAAAAGGAGGTGGTACAGGTGTCTATTATCAAGATAACTTTACTTGCATAAGTGTTATTAGCAGTTGAGATGACTACTGTGAATATACCTTTGCTCAGTTCTGTCAAATCCCTTAAATTGTCAATAACTATTGGAGCTATTTATAGATTTCTCAATACTAATACAACTGCATTCTCTGATAATATAAGGAACCTAATCATAAACAACAAACTCAACAAAAATCACATCATCTTAGGAGGAGACTTCAACATTGGCCTTTGTCAACAAAATAGCCCCTAAGTCGAATACTTCGTAAAGAGCATGAACGCCTGTATGCTCATCCTCACAATCACCAAGACCACATGACTTACTCAAACATCTGTTACAACCCTGGACCACATATAGACTAATATAACAGCCCCCCCTCCCTTGTCTCTGGTATAATCACTGACAACAACTGATCACTATCCTACCGTCCTCTCAGCAAACAAGGACATAACACCCTCAGTTACCAATAAACATACCTGTAGACTACACAGCAAAGCAGCAATAACAAGCCCCATAAATGCACTTCCCAATATAAACTGGGAATCTGAATTCAATAATACACAGGATATAAATTCATTAGGTGACATCTTTCTCTCCAAAGCTCTAAGCCTCTACAACACTCACTGTCCTCTCCTCACCAAGGAAGTAACTTCCAAAAGAATAAATAAACCTGACTCACAAGATTGTGAGTCAATCGACTCAAGTCGATTGACTCACAATCGACTTGAGAATGGTCCAGGACAGATCGAAACGTCGTCGTCCCTTCAATTTCTAGTGTGTGGTCTGGTCAACCTGACTCACAAGTGACATACTTAAAGCAGTCATCAAGAAACATGAATATGAAAAAAAACATAGGATTGGCCTAGTTACAAAAGATGTTAAGTGATACTCATCAATGCTTACCAGTATAATTATAATAGCCAAACTTTCCTGTCATGAGAATAGATTTCAAGAAGCCAAAAGAAATATTAAAAGTACATGGAAAGCCATCTCTAACATCCTAGGGCCTAATCAACAATCACATAACAAGCAGATAAAACTCTCCAAAGATGGTTACACACTTACAACAGACTTCGATATTGCAACTGAATTCAATAGCTTCTTTTCATCAGCTGGTACAAACCTTGCCAGAAAAATCCCAGAGACCCAGACACATGTTATTACATATCTCACCGGCAGCTATCCTAACTCTCTCCTCCTTTTATCAGTCAGCCTGACAGACATTATATCCATAATTCAATCACTTGAAACCAAAGCTGGGAACATTAGTGAAATACCGTCCATAATATATAGGAGTGCTGCTCCTGCTCTTGCACCACCCATAGCTCTCCTATTTAACAAATCTCTAGTGTCATACTTTTTCTGATATCCTTAAAAAAGCAAGAGTAATGCCAGTTCATAAAGGAGGTGAGACAGCTGACATAAACAATTACAGACCAATATCAAATCTACCTATACTGCACTACACACAGAAATCACAATAGCGTGATGTATCAAATGAACAAATCCACAAGGGCTGTGACGAGGATTCGAACCTACATCCGAGAGCATCCCAGACGCTGATTTAATCGACTGAGCTACGACATGGTAAAAGAACTGCAACCAGAAATTCTACTGAATTTACTTAGATCCTGCAGCCTCTCCGAGACACAAACAAGGATTTTACACAGTGAACGTAGATTCTAATCCTCGACACAGCCCTTGTGGATTTGTTTTACCTGCACTGTATTGTTTTAAATATTTGAGAAAATAATTTACAAACAGCTTTTTTCCTACCTTTTAAAACTCAACATACTAAGTCCCTGCCAGTTTGGCTTCCATTCCCAAAAGAGTACCAGTGATGCCATTATTAATATGCTTAATATAATCTACACAGCCCTTCACAAAAATGAGTTCCCAATGGGCATTTTCATTAACCTGAGAAAGGCCTTTTGATACTGTAAACCATAACTATCTCTTACTTAAACGTTACCACTATGGTTTCTGAGGCCTTGTTAGGCCTTGTTGACAAGACCACACACTAGAAATTGAAGGAACGACGACGTTTCGGTCCGTCCTGGACCATTCTCAAGTCGATTGTGATTTGTCGATTCGATTGTCGATTTTAAACTTGTTAGGCTTTGTTCTGGGCTATATTCGTCCCTATCTCAGTGACAGACGTCAATATGTAGCCATCAACAACATAACATAACCTCCCCGACTCTACCATTAACTGTAGGAGTGCCACACGACAGCATCTTACGACCTTTCCTATTTCTTATATACATCAATGATCTGCCTAATGTCTCTGATATTCTTAAACCTATACTATTTGCTGATGATACTACCTTCATCTATTCTGATCCCCACATTAAATAATATTGTAAATAATGGATTAAAAAAAGTCCACTCGTGGATTTCTACCAACAAGGATAAGGGTGACCCCCCTAGGGTCAACACTTGCATCAGAGAAGCTCCAGCATATTTCAACAATCCAAAGTATTGTAGTACAGGTTGATGGTAGTGAGTGGTGTCCCAGAGAACATAAAGGTATAGTGCTTTGGAAAAATAGGTGAGATAACAGGAATGTGCTAAGGGAAGGGAAAAATTGGATGAGAAAAAGATGCCCCTAGTGTTTACAGTGCAGAGAAGAACATTCAAGATGGCGGCCGGCAAGAGGAAAAACAAAACAGAGCTTGATTTTGTGGGATTCAGTGAAGAAAGCATTGATATTAGCAGTCTACACAACAAGTTGGTAAAATTAGATACTATTGTGAACCCTCATGTAGAAATAATTAGTAAAATGAAAGAAAGTAATGACCATTGAAATAGCAAAGTTTTATGTCTTGAGGGTTTAGTGAAAGACTTGCGCAAGGATAAGAATCAATTGGAAACAAATTGCAAAGCCATGGAAGAAGAAAATAAACTCTTAAAAATAGCTTT